TTCACTTCGAACCTGCTCATGTTCAGACTACACAGTATTCAGACTAGGTGATAGGCTTGAATACTTCAGCACCAAGAAAGTTCCAAGTTGATGGATGGTAGAGGAGGGTGAGAACTGCCACTTCAATTTACACATCCTTACACACAGAGATAACATACATCCCTAATCACAAATATTTATTCAAAATACTGGTTTGGTTGGGGTAAAAATCATTTATCCTTTTTCAGTTGTACTTGATTTTTCCATCCAATCAAAATAGTGTTGCCAGTGCTAATTCATAATGAAGCCATATTTTTTATTTAATAAAGCATTAATTTATTATGGCAATACAAATACTGTTGGTTTTTTTAATACAGTCATTGGTTAACTAAATACAGAATTTTGAGATTCTTCATCAGTGAGGAAAGTTTAAAGCAATAAAAAATATAAATAAATAAATAAATAAACCCACATATTCAAAGCAAACTTTTGGCTGTTCACCCACAACTAAGTGTTACTGTCCCATACTATTGCTCTGTGCTAGCTAGGTAAGGATAACCCGAGTAATATACCATCTACTTTACACATGCCTATTTTAGTCTGTGTAATGTTTCTCTGTACTAGGATTTCCAAAGTATCTTTGGCAATTTAATACCTGTTGTTGACCTTAGTATGATTTGAGCTACTCATTCCTGTGCATAATTTTGAGAAGGCCACCCTGTTCATAGAAATGGCAAAACCACAGAAGAGATGGTTGTATATTTAAATTGAATTAAAAATAATCTGTTTAGAACATGACATACTCTTCTGTATTACATACAGAGTGGCTGCCTTCGTTGGAGATACATGCTCGTTGACCTTTCATAGGCCTGGTAAATGAAATGAGCCCATCAAATTCCATGACTTCAGAGGCAGTTACAGTACTAAATGAACAATGGCAGTAGCTGTGGGTCACAGGATTTTGTTCTTTGCTTGTGTTGGCAGTCTACTTATAGTGAGGTTTCTAACGCCTGATATAGGCAGAATGCACACAGGTATCCAGGATTAAATGACTTTTGAAATCACATTATGAAATTATGCACAAATGCACAATTATGTTAGATGGTATATTAAGCTTTTCCTTTCTCCCATATAGTAGTAATCTTTGCAGAGGTCTCTGTAGATTAAAAAGAAGAAAAAAAAGAATGTGTGCTAAGTAAATCGGCAGTATAAACACAATGTAAGATGTTAAATGTAGTTTATTGTGCTTAATGCCATTTTAGGTCACTGCTGAAGTACTGTTTTAAGCAATCTTATTTTAAATGCTCCTGTGTGAGTGCCCACTACTCGTCATTATCTCCATGTCTTTATAGAAGTGCCAGTTGCCAGGAAGAACTAGAGCTTCGCTGTGGTAGACGATGTTAAAAATTGTCACAAAACTATTACCTTGCTGTGCATGCTATATGTCCTCACAGGCAAAGAAGTACCTTCTTTTAGAATTCTTCTGGAAAATGATACTTGTAGTATTTTCCATTGCTTAGTTACGTAAGTCTTTTTTCTCTTGAGTTAAAGAAACGTCCTGAAGACGTCTGTTACCTAGATTTTGTGTCTTGCCAAGTGAGCCTTTTAAATTAAACCTGGTGTCCAAAGTACTATGGATGAGCTGGCATTTATTCTATGAGTCTGCACCTTTCTTCTCAGAAGTGTAGAGAAATCACTGATGTATTTTGTACGTTCATGACATGTTGAGAGAGGACTGCAGCTTTTCGCAACTTTTCAGTCTGTACTTTCCTTGATGACCAGTAAGTGAAATCACAACTGTTCTGTAAAGCAGGTACATCACAGTATTGTGGCAAGTGCAGTGTTTGAGCCTACAAGGCTGTCTGTGCTCACAAAAATCCTTTTGCACAAAAAGAGAGTTCGAGTAACCAGTTAAAGAAATCTGCTGTATCTCTCCCAAGCAAACAGAATTCCTAAATCTGCGGGAGATTTAGAAAAGAGAACTCTACTAACCTGGAACCCTAAATCTTACCAGCTGAGCAAAGACAAAAAAGTTTCTTTTTCAGTAGGTGGTATCTTACAGAAACAATAACATTTCAAGATATTCGAGTGATTTTGGGGGATGAGGAAGTTTGCTTATTCCATTATGAAAATGATATGTTATTTCCTGTGGTTAGTTTATTGTAATCCGTAACTTCTGATCTAAGCTGATCAAAATGCTTACTTGGACTGTAAGGAACAATATCTTTTCAGGCTTACCTGTAGACATTACATCATTGTTTCTTTCTCTGAAGAAGAGCATATTTACTAAAGAGCCATGGATACTCTGTTGTTTGAAGACGAGTTTGAGTCTTTTAATTCCTTGCTGGGCTGGCACTGCTGTTGAATGTATTGGAGTCCTTCCTGATTGTGCTATTAGCATCAGTGCAAAAGATGTTTCACCCCATGCACAGTATGCTTGGCAGCTGCAGGGCCCAGATGATAAGCAGTGGAATTTGTTTTTTCCAGCAGCAGCACATGGGATTGTGGCTGGTTTCCTGGAAGGCTTTTCGGTCTCCTGGCTAGCTGTAGTGCCGGCTGGCAAACTTGACTGTGGGAAAGAGGCAGGGATTGCCTCCTCATGACTAATATTCCTTTTAGTTTTCTACCATGTTTTAGCCATTTGTTCTAGAATTTCATTTTATCGAGGCAGCTTTTCTTATTTCTCTTAGTGTACGTAACAGTTATTTTTTTTATTTAATCCTAACTGTTTAGCTTGATCTGGCAACCTTCAGCAAACAGACTTTGAGCAACATCTCCATTTCCCATGTGAAAGAGGGAGATAGTAGGGTTTCATTATAATGGCCATTAACTTTGGGTTCTGTTTTATTTTGATTTTTGAAACTGTGGGTGTATAGCCAAGTTCTAGAGGAACTCATGTACTAATGGTATTCCTGCTCCTAAACATGCAGTGATTAGTTTTAAGGTGTTTCAGACCCCATGAATATTTCCAGGAAGAAAGATAGAAGTAAAAGGTGGCACAAACACACATGCAAGTAGTAATACATCTATTCTCAATTCTCTAAAAGTTTAGATGAATGTAGTAAGTCGAAATGCTTATAATAAGCAAGTTACGTTGGCTAGCATAAGGCAAATGCTATGATAAATACAGCAAGCTGTTTGATAGTGCAGGTACCTTGTGTGAAAACACAAGCAAACTTTTCTGTAATTTAAAGTGCATTGAAACATTCAAAATGGCGATTTTGTCAACAGGGAAGTGTTGTGGTTTAATCAGCTGTTTCCCTGAAACTTTGACTTCTTTTTCATTGCTACTTTACTAATGGCAGAAGAACAGTGCAAGTTCCTTAAATGAAAAAAAAAAATTCTCCCATCTAGAATGTATATAATATTATGTTCATTCCTAGCTGATGCAACTCAGAAAAGATTGATTCTCAATTAGATTGTAAGGAGCGGGATAGAGGTAGGCTTTTCTGTAGACACTGTAAGATGCAAAACTAAAGCAGACTGTAATGATACTTGGATGATTTAATGTGATTTAGTCAATGAGCTACTGCATTTTGTTCATGTGTTTATTGTGAGATGAAGCTAAGAAACTAAATATACGCTATGACCCATGGTGTACCAGATTGTTTTTCTTTTTAAAGATTGTGCTGGTCTTCTTATGCTTCTTCGTCCTTGAGCACCATTCACATGAAACAGTGATTAGAACTCTGGCAGTTTGTATATCTGAAGATCTAATTAACCACTCTAGCTACCTCAAGACAAATTGCAGTTATATAAAACCATATGATCACAGAATCAGAGAATCACAGAATGGTAGGGGTTGGAAGGGACCTTAGGAGATCAACTGGTCCAACCCCCCTGATAAAGCAGGTTCACCTAGAGCAGGCTATGAGGTATTTAAAAATTGAAGTCTCAGGGAACAGGTGACCTGCCTTCTGTTCCCAGCTTATTACAAGTCTCTTTAATCTTAAGTAAATCATTTAACACGTCCATACTATGGACTGTGAATTCCTAAGGTATGCCTAGCAAGAATGGCCAAATAGTAAAATAATTAAAAATTATCTGCTTCATGCTGTTAAAATACTAGTTAAATCTCAAAATAGTAGTTAAATTTCAAAACAAGCTGATCACCAGGTTATAAACCTGTGAAATCTTTGGCTGAAATGTTTAGATCGTGTTGGAATAGGGTTGGAATTTGATACTTAATTTAGTTTTGAGATTTATTTAGTTTCGAGATTTTTTGAGTTTGTTTTTTTTTAACACATTAATTTTCTAACGTCATGAGAGAGAGTTTTTTTTCACAAACATGATGAAATTGCAATGCATCTTCTCCATCATATATAGAGTTTTTATAAAGTAAATGTACTTATTTTGTATAGGAAAAGCATATGAATTTAACATTCTGGCTGTTCTATAAATATCAGCATGTGAAACACTTGTTCTGTACCAGGAGTACTTGTGTTGATCTTTTTAACACCATTTACTTCATTTTTTAAAAAATGTGTTTATATAACTTCCAAGTAGGACTTTTCTTTTATATACAAACTGAAATTTATGTACACTTTGCATCCAGTACTCCAAATATGGTATATGTTTGGTTCAGAATTGCCGTAGCCATTCAATATCGAGGATAACCAAAGGTCTTATTTTGGGGAGAAGGAGAACTTTGCACTTTCCAAGAATCAATGGACATTTTATTCTACATACTGAAAAACCAAAATGTTCTCTGTACTCATCTTCCTGCATACAAACTTAGTTTAACTCATATGTTTTCTCTTAATTTTATTAATTCTTTCTTTCTAAATATACTTTTTTAAAGGAATGTTCAAAATTAAATTACAGGCTGTCTAGACCCAGATCACTTTCTACTTACTTAAATAGGAAGATAAAGGATATCAATAAGTTATCAATAAAAACATAGGTGGGGCATATATGCTAGTTTTGTAATGTTAGCTAGAGTTTGAACATATGCCCTATAGAAGTAATCTATGACTTGGTACTGCACTGTAGATTCTTATTTTATTTCCTTCGTTTCACAGATGATGTCTATACACCTGAAGATATTGCCAGACAAATTGACATGGATGTGGGAAAACCTTTGGAATATAGTGATATCTGGGAAAAGCCAGTTTCCGGTAAGGTTAATAAAAGAAGACAGTATATGCAGATTTTAACAGTTCTTAAGAAAAAAGCCACCACCTTTGCTACACAAAAAGCACCTCCACTAAGAAGAGAAAATAATTCTTAGTCACCCTTTTCAATACACATTCTCTTGGTTTCAGGATGCTACTAAAAGAGATAAAGATCAGAACATTTCATGATTACTTACTTAGTCACTAACATATGCCGTATATTAAAAATTACCACCACTAGTGTTGTATCCTTACGGTCAAACAGCCACAATACTGTAAGCATGGATTTTTTTCATATTAGTAGTTTCTACATAGCAAGGGAGAATAAGAAGAATGTATAACCAAACCGTCCTCTCATTTATGAGGAAGTTTTGTGGAAGGTTAGGATTGTTTGGAAAATTAGAACGTTAGACTTGAAGCAAAATAACAATGTGGAGTAAATAACGTTACAGGTTTTTTTTACTTGTGCTATATAAGGCTCGTCAATTTTACTTTTCTTTCAAGTCTTGCAATCATATTTTCAAAAGAATTAAAATATCCTTACTAAAAAATGGCTTCCCCAAGTAGGCCTTCAAAAATAGACTTTTTGTATTTCACTTTTTTTCCAGTCAGCTTCTTAGAAATTTTCCATTTGAACTGAAGAGTTATAGTATAGGATGCCACATGTATGCACACATACATACAAACAAACCTGTAAACACCCTTACATGTAGAGAATTTCTTTGTTTCATAAGCATAACCAAGAATAGAGCTGGTTTTAGCTGTGCTTTTTTTACTAGCCTAAAAACTGACTCAGAATAAAATCTTTTTGGTTTTGCCCTTGGATTACTATTCAGCTGTAGCTGCTCTTTTTAGTTTAGGTTTTCTTTTGAAAACATGTTATTAGGTTTAAAAACACAGATACAAAGATATGCCTCTAACATGTATAAACTGCTGTTTGTTCCTAATCCCTGGTGAATTTCCTCTGCACCTAATTTACCTCCAGAAAAACAAAAGCCTATCTTGACAGCTGAGTTCTGGTATTTGATCTTTTCAAAGTTTATTTAATCTGAAGACTGTACTTTGCAAAGATTAAGTGCAGTGTGATATACTGTTAGTGGTACCTGGATGCAGACTGAAAACAGAAAACAAGGATAGTGCTCTGCATTTTTTGTTACTGAATGTCAGGCAGTGGTGTGCACTTAAGTAAATCCAGCTTGTGATTTGCAGAAAGGTTTTTTTATGTACATAGATTTGAAGGAACATCTCCATCTGCTTTTGCTCATCTTATGGCATTGGATGTTTAATAAGCTTTTAGAGCTTTGAAGTAAGCTGATACCTTGAACTGTAGTCATAAAAGACAGTTGGGTATAATTGTGAAATTATCTACTACTGTTTCGTAATTTTCTTGTATACTTCTGTGATCTCAGCTCTCTTCATGAGACCTTAATATCTACATTAAAATTCAGAATTATAGAATCATAGAATGGTTTGGGTTGGAAGGAGCCTTTAAAGATCAAATAATTCCACACTCCCTGCCATGGGCAGGGACACCTTCCACTAGACCAGGTTGCTCAAAGCCCCATCTAACCTGGCCTTGAACACTTCCAGGGAAGGGGCATCCACAGCTTCTCTGGGCAGCCTGTTCCAGTGCCTCACCACCCTCACAGTAAAGAATTTCTTCCTTATATTTGATCTAAATCTACCTTCTTTTAGTTTAAAACTTACCCCTTGTCCTGTCACTACAGGATCTAGTAAAAAGCCTCTCTCCATTTCTCTTATAAGCGCTCTTTAAGTACTGAATGTTGCAGTAAGATCTCGCTGCAGCCTTCTCTTCTCCAGGCTGAACAGCCCCAACTCTCTCAGCTCTTCCTTTTTGTGACCCTCCTCTGGACCCGCTCTAACAGCTCCATGTCTTTCCTGTGCTGAGGGCTCCAGAGCTGGATGCAGGACTCCAGGTGGGATCTCACCAGAGCGGAGTAGAGGGGCAGAATCACCTCCCTCGACCTGCTGGCCACACTGCTTTTGATGCAGCACAGGATACAATTCATGTTCTCGGCTGCAAGCGCACATTGCTGGCTTATATCTAATTTTTCATCTACTAATATCCCCAAGTCCTTCTCTTCAGGGTTGTTCTGAATCTATCTGTCACCTTGCCTGTACTGAGACTGGTGATTGCCCCAACCCAGATGGAGGACCTTGCATTGGCCTTGTTGAACTTCATAAGTTTGCTTTGGCCCACTTTTCTAGGCTGTCAGGGTCCCTCTTGATGGCGTGCCAACTGCACCACTCATCTTGGAGTCATCCGTAATCATGGGTGCACTCAATTCCACTGTCTATGACATCAGTAAAGATATTGAACATTACAGCTCCCAGTACAGACCCCTGAGAGACACCACTTGTTACTGATCTACATTTGGACATAGAGCCATTGACAGCAAGTCTTTATATGGGGCTGTCTAGCCAATTCTTTTTCTGTCAAACAGTCCATCCATCAAACCCATATCTCTCCAATTTAGCAACAATTATGATGTGTGGGACTGTGTCAGAGGCCTTGCAGAAGTCAAGATAGATGACATCAGTTGCTCTTCCCTTATCCACCAACACAGTCACTGCATTATAGAAGGCCACCAGATTAGTCAGGCATGATTTTGCCTTGTGAAGCCATGTTGGCTGTCTCTAATCACCTCCCTGTCATCCATATGCCTTGACATAGCTTCCAGGAGGATCTGTTCCATGATCTTACCAGACAAAGAGGTGAAACTGATAAACCAGATATTGCTATAAGTTAGTCAGTCTTCGACTTTACTTTTAAATTCGTTACTTTTTCTGAAAACTTAGTGTGTGTTAACTGAAAAATTTGCATTTACACTGCTTGCAAGAAATCAAAAAGATAGGTTACAGCACACAAGAATTAAGCTTGATGTGTTAAGAGTCTGTCCTAAGAGGCCACACCCCCTCCTTTTTAATGAAGAGTGACAGAGTCAAGGAATTATGTTGCTGAACCCCTGAGATTAAATAAATCCTAATAGTTCACCATTCTACTGTCATCCCAAGAATCTACGCTGTCATAAAGTCCCTAAATTATAATGTGTTTCCTAGTTTGCAAGCTCAGTCTTTACACATTGTTAATTAGATTTGGTAGCATCAAAGACCATCACCCAAAACATTGTGGAAGTAGTAGAAGGGAGGAGTAGGGATTCTTGTTTTTCCAGAGTGCAGTATAGTAGATTCAACTGTGACACAGTCCACGGAATGTGACATTTTGTCTTGCGTATAACTGTTGCAGTTGTGTTGTTCAGGAGGTACAATAGAAGCCACTGACAAGTTAATACTTGCATGTTTTTACCCCGTAAATATCTCAGACAATTCCATTCCCTAAATATGGGCAGGAGGAAAATTAATCATTGATACTATCATGTAGTAATATATAGGGTATGATGACTTGTGTATACAAAAATTTATTATCATTTTTCACATCTTCAGGCATATTTTTTTCATCTCCATCTGGGGATTAAGGATGAATATGAAACCTACAAATGCTATTTTCAAAACCATTACATCTTCCTGAATTAGAATGATACCCATAAATGTAAAATTTCCACTTACTAGAGTCTTCAACTCTGGCTCTTCACAGCGTCAAGACAGAACATTATTTCCTGTCTTGATCTAAGGGTTTTAAAAAGGGCTGTCCCAAAAGAGCCTTTGGATCTGCTCCCTTCTCGCCCACAGTCACTCTTATTTATAGGCTAAACTAAGGTCTGATGTGTAGAGCCTGAGGTACTCTGTGTAGCCAGCAACTCAGTATCAGGCAACTTGCATATTTGTTGACATTGGCAGCATCATAAGAATTATATTACTCTTGAGGATTTTCCCATGTTAGGTACAAAAAGTCTTTTGTTACATAAATGTGTTGCACATATCTCCTGTTTTTTTTTCTTAAGGAAAGAAGTGCAAAGATGAATAGTAGAAGAAAAATCTTTTCCTTTCCTTTGCATAATAAAATCATTTGTAATAGCCTGGAAAATACAGTAAAATGTTTTGTAACTATGAATTAAGAGGGTTAGGTTCTACTTTCAGTTCTCACTGTCAAAGGACCTTACCAGAAAAATTTCAGAGACATTGGCTGGAACTGTACATTGAAACAACCTAATTGGGTGCTTCGGGAGTTTCTAATGCAGTAACTGTCTCTAGCCATGTCAGTGCATGAAGTAACAGTGGCTTTTTTCATTTTTCACTTTTGAACAGCACAGGATAAAGTGCCCCTAATGATAATTTCCCTTTTGCTACATCTTTTGCTTCAAGTTGAGGGTGACCAATTTTGTCAGTTAGAAAGTACAAAAGATCAGAAATTTTGTGAGTAGGATACTGAAGGTGTTTCCAGGTACACTGAGGTGGTGTTTATTGTGGGAAGAAGTATCCTGTTAGCTGCCAGAAAATTACCGTTGACAGAAAGGAGTAACTACACAGAAAGTGAATTGCTGAAACACTTGTAGAAAATCCCAAAGGAACTGTATTTTTTTAGTGTAAGTTTGGTTTAAAACTCCATGGCGCACACTTCCTAAATAATTTAAGGCTGAAAATACAACTCATTTCAGCTCCTAACCTCACCTGTCCACTTTTGATATTAAATCAGACATTAAACATTGTTTGAGAAGTCAGACTATAAATTCGGGTTATATGGGTTTCTGACTTTATGGAATTTGAGATTAAATAATTAATAACACTGTCTTGTAATGTCATTCAGTAACTACATCACCTGGCCCTCAGCATCCTCCTATACTTCCTGTGAAGCCAACACAAATGCGAAGAAAACCTCTGCCTCCAAACACCGTGACTGGTAAACCAGGCAGTCCAGGTATCTCAGCCTTTTCAGCGTAAATATTTTATGTGTGAGATAATACTGAACTGACTAGCAGGGTGCAGGAGAATTTTACGGTATAGATTATTTTTCTTTAATCTGTAATATCTATAGAAACTAGTCTTCTGGAACATACAAGTCTTGTGTCTTTTGTCTTTGTACGTGAACTCTGTTTTCCTTTTGTTTTCCTAGCCTAGTTATGTCAAAATCATCCCTAGTAAGGGAGCCGAAAGCAAAATAGTATAATACAAGTCATCCTTTAAGAAGATCAACCTTCAGAAAATTTAATGTCTACTAATAGACTTAATGTGTGTGTCAGATGGGAGATACTGAATATCATGCTTCAACGCATACTCCCAACTGGTTATTTGTAAAGAAATTCTGTCCCATATATATGGCACACCCATTAACCACTGCAAATAATGAGCTAATAGGCACCTAGAAATCTAATTGCACTGTGGAAGGTAGAGCAAGCTGAGTTATTTCATATGCAAACAGTTTAGCTTCATTCCTGTGCTACAATATTCCTGCTTCTCAGTATTAGTATAAGAGCACGCAGAAACCTTCACATTTCCTATTTAATTTAAATTTTATCCTGAAGCTTATATTCGGTATGTGTGTTTTGTCTGTGGATACTATCTAAGAATCTTTAGGCTATTATTCCAGGTAGTCAGAAACGATCATCTCATTATGCTTAAGATCATGAGAAATGCTTTCCTCTTCATATTACTTTCTGTAGTTCACTGGAAATATAAAGGTCTTGGTTCTGCTGTATTTCCCATTGGCTTTTTTTGATTTGTTGCATTTGTGGCTGTATGTGCAATTAAGGCACTAAAGACCTAAATAATTCTGTAGTATTTTTTGCAGCAGATTAGAAGCAGGAACCTCCAAGGTGGATGAAACAAGCTGTATATTTACTCAACAGCAGGGCCAAGATCAAAATGTCTGTACTTGCCCTTGATCAGTGGTGTTTCCTTAGTAATAGCTACAGCAGAACATAAGACACTGTCAGTCTTCAGCTGTAGCATAAAAAAACATTGACCTGATACATTTTCTTTTGCTTATAATAGGGTCTATGCTAATTTTCTCCATAAAATGTCTAATTAATTTACCAGTGTTTTGAAATATCACCCTTTTTCCATAGACGCCAGGTTATGTGGTAGTCCGCAGTCACCTTCCTAGGCATTCAAGATGGAATAAATCGGTTACGTGAACTGGTTCTTCCTTGTGAGGCCAGTAGCAAATTTTCCTTGTTATGTGTTTCCTAGTGTTTCATCCAGCTTGGTTTTAAAATCATAATTGAGTTTCTTCTGGTTCTCTAGAGACTTTTCCACAGTACTAACAGGAAAAATTTGCCTCAATATTCTTCTTGCATTTTCCCTTTCATAATTCTGTCCTGTTTCTCTTTCTTATTAACACTGTGATTAATTCCTTACTTGCATCTTTCTTACTCATCGAGTGAATGAGTATTATGGGAAGGTTTCTATGCAGACATTAAAAGTCTCCTGAATAGAAAAAAAGGAAACAAGAGTTCCAGAAGTTTTGTGTAACTACACTCTAGTGAGAATCTTAATAAGTTTCCACTTTATTGAAAAAATTAGTGGAAAGTAGGGAGACAATCTTTATTATGAGAATCTTAGTAAATTTCTAATTTATTAAGGAAATTAGTGGAAGCTAGGGATTTTTGTTGTTTTAAACTTGGTTCACCAGAGTTCTGCTTTCAGTTACCATGTTCTTCTGTGTCATATATGCAGGGAAGGTAACTACATTTTGTACTTCTTGACTTTTTGGCGGTTGAGATTTCACAGTCATGCAGTGGTTGTATGGGAGTATCTGTATGTTTTGTGAATGTAGTTCTTTTACAGCTATTTTGAAAAAAATCTTCACATCCTTTCCCATGGATTGTTTGCCTCTTGGAAACCTTTTTTCTTTGTTAGGTGATAAGAGCTGAGTAATAAAATCAATGTCACATAATCTAAAATAATCTTTAAAATAGCTATTTAATTCTGTGAGATAATATTGCCTCTGCCAATCAGTTTCTGTCCAAACATATGTTGCCTACTACAGAATAGATCAGAAAGAAAGCTTTTTCCCTTGGGACATGTAGTGTTATAAATGTTGATAATATTGGACTTGGTTGCATTTTTCTTACCTCAATTTCAAGTGCATCTTAATTTTGTTTAGTGGAAGCTCCTGTACTGTTCTATCATTAAACTCTTACTGCAGAGAATAGTTAAGGACCCAGTGTTTATCGTTATATGTGTTCCAGCTCCAGCCTTGCTGATATATATGCTATGTGGAGAGTAGAAATGAAAGGACCTTACCTATATTTGAGGGAAGAATCCAAGTTTTGGTTGCTGACTTCAGCTATTCTGTTTTACAACTCATGAAGAAGCGTGCTCTTTTATTTGAGAAACAGAAATGTCCATGCTGGTCATTTTTCATCCTTTTACCAGTAGGATGGTTCCATGAATTAAACCAGGTCATATTCCAGCTGATTGGAGTCCTCCAAGACAATCTCCAAGTAGCAAAGAATTTTCTTACTGGGCTTCAGGAGTAGCTTATATCAGCAATAAGGACAACTCAAAACTTTCCTAAATCCAACTGGAAGCTGTTGTATAAGTTTTGAGGGAATATAATTGTTTAAATGAAAGTACTTGTTCCGTGAAGCAGTTGTCACAAATCTGAGTTAGAAAACCAGAAAACTGTTTCACTCTTTTAAATAGGGAATGCCTTGCTGACATAAGTTCTTCCTTCTGTCACTGTAGCTAAACCCCCTGGACCAACAATACCTGTGAGGACAGGAACATCATATAAGACTCCAACAGCTTTTGCAACTCCGGAGTATTATGGTAAGCACATTACAGACAGTTCTGGTGGTGGGGGGGTTTTTTCTTTTTTTTTTTTTCCCATGAACATCAAGATTTCCTTTTTTTCTTTTGTTTCCTTTTCCCAAACTATATTGATGCATTGTATATTTAATTTAGGAAATATTCTGTCTGGGCTGTTTGTCATTTGCTTTATGCCACTGATAGAAGGGATTGGCATCACCACTTTGCAACTTTTCTAACGACTGAATTCATCCATCTGGCTCTCTTCTGGTAAACACCTTGGTAAATGATAACATAATGGCCCTTCCATCTTCCTAGAAATCAATAAGTGCTTAGTAGGCTCTCAATACTATTCAGTGGCTACTTTAAATCTGTGAAGGGAATAGATAAGGTACTTCTTTTACTGAGCATTTCTTTTTGACAGGACATAAATTCAAATTATTATTTAACAGATAGTGCTCAACATGATTGTGATGTCCTCCTAGCTATCTGATCAAACTGCCATATTTTAAATAGAAAAAAAGGTAATAATAGTAAACATAGCAGTTAGTTGGTAGTATGCTCTTTACAAAATTGGAAATGAACTACAAGTTCAGACCTATATCTCCTCAAAGTGGCATGCAGGCATGGGCTTGGGGGAGGGTGTGCTTAGAATTTTTGAGCCAAAGTATCTGTTCTAGGTATGTTGTCAGAAATTATGCTGTTTCTAATTTTCCTGGATCTATAATAATACTGAAATTCTTGTCTCCTTTTAGTGATCATGAACTCACTGTGACCCTTAGTGCTCAGTAAAGCAAGCTGTATTCTAAATTTATTTAAAAATGCTAGTTGTAATTATATAGTGTTTGCTTCATTGAGTTCCATTGTAGTATTTGCATCTATGAGAAGATTCTGTTCAGTATAGTGGCTATTTAACACAACACTGGTGTCATGAATTCTGACCGCTTTAGCACTTTTCTATTCATCAGTGTATTTGCCTTCAATTACCTTCAAATTTTGTGGAAGTTGTGCACTCTGAAGACAGAATTTGTGATTTCCCTATCGCTATTTTTTGAGAATTTCCTATGCCAACATAATAGTGCTACATATTCTATGAACGTGAAACAAGCTCCAATCTAAACAGCCAGTACCGTGCAAAAAGATCCTTTTTAAAAGGTCCAAAGAGCATTTAGGGTATATTACATGAACTGAATCCAGCAGCAGTCATGACGTCTGTCATTTTGATTATGGCGATCTTTATACTAGCAGGTAAGTATGGGGTTTACTTAGTATCACAGCCAAAATGGAGTCCTTAAACGGAAAAGAGATTTGGCAGCAAAGGTCTACCATGGAAGAGCTTTACTGTGATTTAAAATGCCAAATGAACTGTGAAATGCTGGAGTCCTAACACTGAAACTTTGTATTTATTGCAAATTAAATTATTACTGTGTTTCCCACAGTTGATGCAACTGTCTTCAGCTCAAGTCCTACATCAGAAACAGATTCTTCAGGCAAACCAAGGTACCAAGGTAGGACTTTAATAGCTGTGGTACTTTTATTTGGGGGAATATATGACAACTGACCTATCTTGCATCAAAATTATCTTATTTGGTTATTTGAAGGCCAAAACTTCATTTGATTCTGTTTCACTTTAATGTCAGATGAAAGGGCTGTAGTGCAGACCGTCAGCATATTCTTTGACTAAACTTTACTTCTACTTTCTTCCCTGCTACCACTTCCTAGTTTACAGCCTTGCTCACAAACATGTTGTGGCTTTTCCTGTATGCCAGCAGTAGTACAACTACACACTGTTCATGTTCCACCAAACCAAATAAAAATCTTCGTGTGGGTTTGCAAGCATACCTGGAGGGGTATTGCCCCAATACCAGTGCACCTCAGCATAAGGGATATCTACTCATCATATATGCCTCACGTCTCATTCCAGGCTGTGCACATTCAGATAGTCTAATATGGTAACATGGACTAGACTAGATGATAAAGTAATCAAGTTATTGCTGTTGCTGTAATCTAGAGAGTTTAACAAGGTGAGATGACCAGAAGAAGTGCTTTTGTACCAAAAGATTTTTCAGGCTTTTTTTCTTGGTCTGGTAAGAGGCACTGCATTTCTGATGACACTGTCTTTCTTGTAAGAGCTTATTGTTTACATCCAATAGAAGTTTTAATTTTAGAACTAATGTGTTTTTTCTTCAGTAATCTTCCTAATTTTGATGCAGAGTACAAGATGCTTTCCTCAGAAGGTTTGTTTCAAGGTACCACTGAAGATGGTTAAGATTTTGACAGTCACTTTAGAAAAGGCAGGTTTAGTGATGGAATGATTCTGGACTAAACTTGTTACTCTTTCTGGTGAAACAAAGTGGTGATGGGCATTACGCCTTTGTATTGGTATAGCGCTCAAAAGCTGCAAATGGAATTATAGTATCATTTTGCTATAGAAGGACTGAAGTTAATTGTCCTATTTTATGACAGAATTCTTTCAAACAGTGCCTATGACCCACTAATACCTTCAGAGTGGTATTTCATCAGTGGTGCCAATGGGAAGGGGGTGAAAGCAGTGCAGATTCCAGGTCTAACAACAATTAAAAAATCCAACAAGCAGCTTAACATTAACTATATCGTTTTTATTTCTTAAATATTTTGTTTGACTTTGACTTGTGCAGATTTCTACTTGGTGCCCTGCGATGGAAGTTGTGCACTAGGTAGAATGGCACTGGTGTTTTGTAAAAACGATCTGTATTGAATAACAGCTCTTTCCTATTTCTCTTAGCCCCCCATGTCAAGTACATGAAGAAAGACGATGATGTGCCTTGCTCTATCACAAGCTCTCTTGAACATTTTCCTCAAGAAGAAGCTGGCAGCAGGGAAGAACCTACTCGTCCTCCACAAAATCCTCCAACCAACCTTACAGTGGTGACTGTTGAGGGCTGTCCAACTTTCGTCATACTGGACTGGGAAAAACCAGACAATGACACTGTTACTGGTTGGTTTGATTTCTTTCCTCCATTGTATCAGAATACAGTATTTCCAGCTTATTTTTGCTTTCACAGTGGTTTTATGCCATTTAAAAAATAGTTTAATCCCACGGGAGTCTTACACCACAGTGCTTTTATTTGTGCTATTGTCAACTCCAATGTGGATAGGAAAATGCTACTAGATTGGAACGAGATTTTCACAACTGTATCAATGGTGTCAGTAATGACACAAAAAGATATGTAAGAAGCATGACTCTGTATCATCTCTTAATTTCTGGCTTCTCTGTGTGTAGGATCTGGTAAGATCTAGTCTAGAAGTTACAGCAATGTGACAGTAGGTCTTTATTATATAGATGCATACACATAATGTAGACATCCTTCTTGACTTGAGGACGTTGTTGATCAGTGGGCCGGACTCAGTGAAATCTTACATCCATCTAGTAAGTCAGTAGGACTCTGCCAGCATAATACTTGCTGTACTCACCATAGGGTCACCAAGTTCTCTATGTTAAAAGAATCTGTTTGTTTTTTTCATTTCCAAAGGAAGGTTTTTGTACTGAGAATAAATCATTGTGAGTCCTGTGACCATTCATAAATTTTCTGTTGTCTTCTGTATAGCAACACAAGCTTACCAAAATCAAACATTTAAATTAAATAACAACTGAAAATTATTGTTCTTCTGTACTGTCAGGAAAATGGCTTTTATTTTTCTTTTTGTGAAGGGAAAAGCCTTTCTGTTGCTGTTGTCATTTGGAGGCCTGGTCCCCAGATCAGACCTTAGCTTGATTAGGTTGGATAATGTCATTGAGTCTGCATGTTTTCCTGGAAGTAGATCTGCTGTTTTTCTTGAGTATGTTAATGAACACGCTGCAGCAGAACCATTGGTATTGCAAGAACGGAAGAATATTTCCGCTATAGCTGGTCCAACTGTCAGCGCACATCATCTAATGATGAGAGCAAGGCCTAATTGCCTTCTGATTCTATTTCCTTTCTTTTTCAATGTGTGTTGTGAAATATAGAGCGAGCAATACTCACTGTTTCTACTGAGACATTAGGTGGAAAACCTTTTTCTGTTCAGTTGTAATCAGCATATGTAAAAGTTAATTTTCCATGAAGTTTCTTGTCTTCTGTAAGACTATTCTGTGATAACTGAGACACCTGGCACACCCTTCCCTGTTCCAGATAAGAAGATTAAAACCTTCTGCAGAGTACATGACACGTACTCATTTTGCTTCACTGAGAGAAACTTTAGTTTTCAATCAAGCTATCTTTCTATCTAGATGTAACAGCTTTCCCATAAATACCATCTTCATTCTTTCTAACTTCAATGTATAATACAAAATGTTTGCACTCTGCGGCTTACAAATATTCTCACTGAGCTTGTCTCCATCATCTTAACTTCAGAAAATTACTTAGTTAATGACTCATCCTAGGACACATTCTGAATTCAAGAGAAGTCATTGAATCCCATTTTCTGAAAACGGTTATTGCTTCATATTGGCATCAGTATGACATTACTTGTTTAGACAAACTTAAATCAAGTTTTCTGTCATTTATTTGTATTTTTGTAGTTTATACATCTTTTTTCAATCATCTGTTAGGCATCACATCTCTTTTTTTTAGTGCACTTTTTCAGATAGAACTGTGGAAACAGAAAACGTATTTTGTTGAGCCATTTGTTTGGAAATGGTTACTTTGCTTGACTTTCAGCTACACGCAAGGGGTTTCATTGTATTGGGTATTCCTAAAAACAAACTATTGCTTCAGTAATGGACATGTCTAACAAATAATAAACAGAACAGTGATCAAGCTTACCTCCTTGTTTTCATAAAGGCTGCAAATGTTAGGAACCAAGACCATTTTGCTGATGCTCTGCTATTCCTCCTGTGTTGCCACAGAAATGTAGGGCAGTTTGTTGTCTTGTGCACTTAGTAACAAGCAGGTACTGGATACATTCAGTAGTTCTCTGTTTGTGCGTGTGTGTGCACATGTTTACATGCCCAATCGTATGTGCCGTGTTTTGTTTTCCAGCTGGAATGAATTAAAAAGTTCAAATCATCTATCGATTTGTGGCTGACAGAAGGATTGAATTCTTGTAAAGACACCTACTCATTCTCTGTCTGGATTGTCCTAAGGCAGTGGATATCCACCATCTCTCCCATGCTTCCTAATAAACAGAATTTCTCTAATGAGGCTTAATTAGGGCAAATAAGACCTTTCGCGTGTTGTTCTTTGTGGTTCACTCAGCCCTTGGTGGCTATGTAGCAAAAGGTCTTGATTTCCAAAAAGGAAATGCATATAGGGAAAACACAGAGAAGTTTTACACAAATATATACTAACTATCAATGCTAATGTCTTTGATTGTTGCATTGGGGTCCCACTTAAACAAAGGATCTAAAGGAAAAGCCCTCTGCTTTCCTCTCCCCCCCCCCCCCTCTGAGACATCCATTTCTGCAGGTCCATAAGTTTGTTTTTAAAAGGCAGGGGTTGGCCTTTTTCTGTTCATGGGTGGCTGTTGTGGGGGAGGCCTTCTGAACATGGAAATTTTGAAATCTTCAGTATTGGCAGTAATTCCTTCCTTCATGCTGACTTTCTGACCTACTTTTAAACCTATTTTAAAGTTTTAAGTTGCTCTGTATATGCTCTAAATAACAGTCTATTACAAGGTAAAGATAAAAAGATGCTGCGTAGAGGTCGTTTTGGAAACTATTGCAGTAAATCTGAAATTCACATGTGCATATGTGTATATGATTTCTCAGATTCAGTTGCTGTGGTTTAGAAGCTTGGAATTTTAGAACATATTTTTTTAGGGCTACTCTGCACTTCCACTTAATTGCTCTGTCTTACCTGATTTACCCCAGCAGTTTTGATGGCTTTTTCTTGCGTAGGAGAGTGCAGAAGAAGCCATAGCTTCACAATTGAGGTCAAAATCAGGTCAATTTGTGTGTGTATGCTCACTTACATACACATCTCCTACATTTACTAGGAGTGAGGATCTGAGAATCCAGCAACAGTTAAGAGAGGTTTTTTTCCTTTTTAACACTGAATCCCATTGCAGGTATTTTATCCTTCTGTATTGACAACAAATGGGTCTCCTTGTATTGAGAACTAAAAAATTTAGCAAAAAAAATGCCCTACAGCTTGCTAGCATTTAGTTAAGAACTCAAAAATTAGTAGTGTCGCTAGAAAAAAACAGGAAAGAAAGTAGTTTTCTAGAGGTTTTGTAGCTGTTGATAGGTCGGTGGTCTCTGTCTCTGTCCTCACAGTACAATACCTACTTTATTCATTGTGCTGTAGATCTAAATTCTCATTGCAAATGTTCTTTGAAAACATTCTTCTTTGCTAGCTTACAGTTAGCAAAGCTGCACTTGTTATTATAGACAGGTTTTGGGAATGGAAAGGGAAGGGGCTGAGGAGGTTGTGAATTTCTTTGCAAAGAGAGGAAAATTAGCAATATGCTCAGTGTGTTTATTAGAAGAGGTAGTTATGAATTGGGACAGAGGTGGCCTGCTAGAGGGAGAATGTGTCTTGGACAAGGCTATGACTGAAGCGGTATCTTCTTCCCAAACATCTGTTGTTAAGTCCCTGTTCAGAGCATGACTGATGCTTGATGATGCATCCCAGTGAGATTAAAAGAAAGTTGTGAGCTTCTATAAATCACATAAATACAGAAATAAATTTATGCAAAAGTATTTAAGTCTAAACTGGCAGTTTCCCTAAGTGCACAATCCAAGTTAATTGGGCAGTTTCCTTTGGAAACCTTAAAAAATTAGGTTTAAGTTAACCAAAGTTTAAGCATTTAGAAACTGTACTTTCATCTTTCGTACTTTTTCATTCAAATTGCAGAATGCTTATACTTATTTGTGTGTGGAATTTTGTCACTAGTGTACCTTTGGGCAGAGGTGAGACATTGAGTATCCTCTGTCCCAGAACTGAATTACGAGGAAGGATGAGGGGCTAGGCACTCAGCAATCTAGAAATGGGTCTCTCTTCCCTAACCCTTTTAGCATACCAATGTCCAGACTGATTCGCACAAGGTGTCCTTACAACCTATTAGACAGTAGGAGTGGAAATCAGATGAGAAAAGAGACAGCATTGAAGAAGCTCAAGTAAGAGCTGTTACCTAAGCAAATTTCTTTTTACTGTAATTTTCCAGAGTATGAGGTTGTGTCAACTGAAAATGGAGCAAGTGATGGCGAAAAGGAGAAATCAATTATCACTACAAATCAAACTCATTCTACTGTGGAAAACCTAAAACCTGACACAAGGTAATTAAATAAAATAATTTTCTAAGTTAATCCAACTAACTTAGACTGTCAGCTGTCTGCCACTTCAAATGAAAATACATATGTATATACGACCAAATTGGTTTTACTCCTGTTGTGATAGGAAAAATGTATGCTTTGGTTTTGGTTTGTTTTAAGTTAACAGATAAGACACATCTGAGGAGCCTTTAGGAAATTTGCAAAAGTATTTATGGTCTGGACAAACTGCAGAAGTGACCTGTTCTATCAGAAAGATTCAGTCAAATGTAAGAAAATGTGTGGCTTTTTATCAAAGAATCTCTTTAATTTAGCAGATAAAGAAACAAGGTGAACACAAGAAATATTAACCTGATATATGAGATCGAGATTTATGTGCACCGTTGTCTCTTCCTGGGGTTTAAGCATGCTCGGCACAACTGAGATAGGCTGCTTGCTTATTTAGATGGATGTTCGTTCAAATACTCGAATGCAAGTTGGGCCACTGTATGAAGTTTGACTATTGCATCCACCATGGAGAGGAAAGATACATTTGTCCTGTATGTGTAGCTTTCTTTCAGTGTCTTGAAACAGCTGGCAAGTTAAAAATGAGTCAGTGAATTCCAGTTGATGGCATACATCTCATGCAACTAATCCAAATAAGCATTATCATTCTTTAAAAAAAATCTCATCAAAAATTATTCTTCGTTTTTGCATGAAAATTCAGAGCAGGGAAGAAAACCGCTTGTCCTTTTTATCTTGCTTATTGATTGCATCAGAAAGTTAATGAATGACATGTTTTTTTCCTGTAAGACCATCCATTTGGCTTTGGTAACTGGATTTTTCTGTTTTAGATAAACTGTCCTTTTCTATTATTATCCTTAAATTGATAACACAGCAGAAAATTCTGCATAGAACCCATCTTGAACCTTTATTTTTAGGCAATGTGTGGTTTAATCTGGAGTGTTGGTTCTTAGCTCATGTACTTGTGACCAGCAGCTCCTAGGAGGACGAATGAGAAACTACTGCAGAAAGTGGAAAGGAAAGGAAGAGAACTGGAAAAGAAAGGCTAGGGGAAATTATGATACCCAAAAAGAGCTTAACTGATAGACTCCAAAACTCGTAAGATGGGCTAGAATTGCTGTGTATTGCATCAAGAATATCTCTGTTATTTCTTAAAGGCATGTGGCTTGTAAAAGGGTGAACTGCATCTATGTTGTTGAGGCAATTAGGATATGTTAGCAATACAACTGGAGACCAAGCATCAGTTTCCTCAATCTCTTCCTCAATCAGTTGAGAAGGCTTGGAAGAGACAGCAAAACAATGTATTTCTGGAGTAGCGACCAAGAACGCAGCAGGTGCTACGAAACATGTCAGGCTTTGCTGTTTGTGTTTTCATTTCAGTTCTGACTTGAAATAATACAGTTGTATCCTTGAAAAGGACTGTGTGTTATTAATGAGATTCTCTTCCATTACACACTTGAACTCTTCGTGTCCTGTATGGTAAAAGAAATGGGATGGATTTGGTTAAGTGTAGAAAAGCCATGGAATCAAAGAAAAGTCTTAGATACTGAGAGCAATGTCCAGATAGCCAAAGGAGAAAAGCATTTTTAGACTGCTCTTTGTTCAGAAAGGAAGGAAGATAGAGGCAGGCAGACCCAGCTGGAGCCACTGGAAAGGTCGTAAGGAAGACAAGAGCTATGCAGAAGCAGATGAGATGGTTTTTAACTTCAATTAGTAACAATTCTGTCAATCCTATGAGAGGATTTTCAGGTTTTGGTAAGCAAGAGGAGACCAAAGACTATGGAGAGAAGCTGTCCTTTGGAGCGTGGATTTTGGTATGAGAAGCTTCATATGAGATCAGTACTGATTTGTGGAAGTTGACTGAAGACATTAAGGGGTAATTTTTCCTTGATGGGATGGTGGCTGTTGTGCCCTCCTCCAACCTCAAAAGGGAAAGACAGCGAAAGTCTTTCTGGATTCAAGAGGCCATCACCTGAAATTGAAAACCTGTGGTATAAATTGTAGTGGTGCATGTCCCTCAAATCTCAGAGGATCTAAGGATGTGAAGTCCTTCTCAGAGTGGCTCTGTTTGATTAAACTCCCATTTCAAAATGTGTGTTTCGTAATTTTGAGGACACCTTGAGAGCTTTAGCAGAAGCATGAGAAGTTGTTACTGTTACCATTTGCATCCAGGCTTGTTGGCACACTAAATTCAGCTGGCATCATGTAGACAGCATCAATGTTGCAAAGAATACCATATGTCCATAATAAGAGTCTCCTGTCTGTCAGATTGCTCGCTAGATGGAGAAAATAGATATGTGGACAAAACTGACTGAAAATAGGAGGAATAGAGACAGTGAAACACAGCTCAATAAATTAATGAACAGAGTCTCTGAAACATCTGCGAATTCATCAAGTAATACATTAAGACTGGGAAGCAGACTTTTCCATAACTAGCCTTAAAGGAAAGAGCTGTAGAAGAGGTGGAGCTGGAAAAGAAACTTGGAAGAGAAAAAGAAATCCCTCTCCCAAATAATCAACATTTACAAAACTACCAGCAAGTGTATGGAAAGAGAGATGCTCAGTAGCAGAGGGTGGATTAACTGGGGAAGAACCTCTTGGCCTTGAAACACTTTGGAGAAGCTGACAAGCTGAATTGGAGAGTCTATTTTTTCCAGCTTTCCTGAAGCCATCAGTGAGGCTGTGTGAATCCCCTATGCTGCTCTGAAGGTTCAGTGCATCCAGAGCTGAAGACAGTTCAGGATAGACCTAAACAAAGACTTTTCAAAAGGAATAAAAATGTTTGTTAATGTGGTATCTCAATCTCCATGGGTAAATTTAAACCAGAAAGATCCTATAGCAGCAAGACGGTTCAAGCCTGTAGTTCTCCAGATGTATGCTCTTGAGGAGCAGTACATGGCCAAGATGGTCTGCAGTCACATTGCCCAAGGTCTATCATCCTATTGAGGTAAATCAGGTAGGATATGTTATAGTGCCTGGTCCGGGAGCTAGAGAGTTAATCACCCACATCCAGCAGAAGGGAAGCAAGACAAACAACTCTTCAGTGTGAAGGGGGCAGAACAAGCAGCAGGGAAAAATTGGGTGCATCCAGGCCTGCCAGATCATGCTGTTTGTTTGCTTTTCTCTTTTACATTCTTCTTTAAAATAGATCATACTGCTACACCTCTGGGAAGCTCTGCGGTAAGCCAGACACCCGTCTTCCTTTGAGCTGGAGTTTTGACAAGGCAGCTTTTAGAGATTAGCAGCTGATGGCCAGACTTCGAATATTTAAGAAATTTGGACAGTGTTAGGGAGGCAGCAATGCGAGACTCTTACAGTCTGTCATGAAAAATTGCATGTGTGACTGCAACTGTCAGTAAGTACAAACATAGAAATTAAATGGGTTACAAATTTCTCTAAATCACAGGATTATCATGTAGGACTGTGTGTGTCCATTTAGCTGTCTGTAAAGTGACTATGTCCAGAAAAAAATGCACTGGCTGAAAAAGAAAAGGAATTCTGACTTCCAGTGCAGTTATCAAGTATTTGGCTTTAACGGACTCATACCATGCTAGTATGGAAACGAAACTGTGAGGACATACACCCTTTAAATCAATGCGGGGCACAGTCATCTGCTTTCCAACACAACTGCTTGGGGTTTTGGTTTTTTTTTTTAAAAAAAGGTTCCAAAGGGTCTTATACAATGTGATTTTGTTGGAGGGCTGAGATCCCTATGGTTTTTGCCCAAGAAAAGGCACATTGTATCCATGCTGTTCTCTCACAGCAAGGCACACCGGACAGTTGACATCACTTCCATTTAAAGGATTTTTCCTTATAGGATGAGTACGTTGGCCTCGTTTTCAGCTGGAGAATTTCCAGATATGGTACTTGCAGTATTTCACTGTCACGTCGTAGAAAACTTCTGATGGTTTAAGTAACTTGGAAAGTTCAAATCTTGATATCCATTATTTGGTTGGTCAGAGTTCTTGAAACTGCTGCTGCTCCTGGCACTAAGCTGCTGCCTGGGTCTGGTCTAGAATTCTGTTTAATTTCATCAGATATTTTGCTTTTGATTGTAACTTTTACTTGAAATCTCTCAAAGCATGTAGTGTGGTTATGCTATGTGAGCTAGATAACAATATATAGCCTTCTTACATAGTTAATTGGATATAACTGGTGCCTGGAGAGGAAAACTTTCTCTTGTTTTATGAGCGTCTTCCATTTAAACGTTTCTATTATACATGTCCTTCTGTGATCTAATAATCACATAGACACAGCTGTTGATTACAACTTCGTACTGTGGTTAGCTTTTATGACCCTTTACATTATTTCCAACAGTTTTAGAGTAGATCCAGGACATGTTTCACTCAGCCCTCTTTTCAGTATCACACTTACACACACACCAAATTTTCTGCAGTTTTTGCCATTTTTATACTTCAGTTAGTCCTTCACTTCTTAAGTGAGTGAAATAGCCAAATTCTATTTATCCTTTTTTCTTCTAGCTAGCCTGAAACTACCCAGTTTTTACTCCATTGTTCAAGCAGTGAGTATCTGTAACTACTGTGCTTATTGATCGACCCTGAGCAACTTAGTGCAGCTCTTAAGTCAGCCCTGTCATGAAAAGGGGCTTGGACCAGATGGCCTTCATAGGTCCCTTCCAACCTAAATTATTGTATGATTGTATCTTAGAGGTAGTTTCTGATCTTGTAAATCTCAATTTCACCCGTTTTCTTTAATGCAGGCTGAGGTGGGTTTGTATGTTAATGCAAATGTCATTCATTTCTTAGCAAAGACAAATGAGAGAGGGGGCTGCACTAGTATGAACTGATCTTTCAGTTTGATTTTTCATCATCCACACAGAAATCCTGCTCTTTTTATATTGAGGAAAACTGTCACAGGTTTTTTTTGAGAAATATGCCATTTATTCCGCTTCGAAAACAATCAAAGCCAAACTACAAGACTGATGTTTTTGATCAAAGCAATGACAGTCTACCTTCCGAGCACATTTAAAGCGTAAGACCTGT